CTTTTTCATTCAAGAGGTTGGACCTTAGACTCCATCTTTGTTGCCTTCTCTTGTTAATATAGTGCCAATTTACTTCGAGAAGTTTATGATCTGTCCAAGTATTTATACTTATATCCACTTTCTTAATTTCTAGACCTAATTTTCTAGTAGTCCATACCATGTCGATTCTGGACCAAGAATTCTGTGGATTTGAGAAAAAGGTGTATTGGGAGTCGTGCGGGTGTAAAGTACGCCACACATCAATTAGGTTAATTTCGTCCACCAGATCAAAGAAGCTTTTTGACAGAGGTAATCTTTTATTTCTTTTTCTCTCCCCACTTTTATAATCTTTCACTGGGTTAACAATACCATTAAAATCGCCTAACATACACATTTCAGCATGGGCCCGACTCCCTAATTGTTTGTGTAATTTTTTGTAAAATTGTCCCTGTTTCTCATTCAGGGCATATACTCCCACCAACATCATTTTTGCATTACCTCTCCTAATTTCTACCATTAGAATTCTCCCTTTAGTATCTTTGTACTTTAATTCTGCCTCAATTCCTTTTTTCACATATATCGCCACACCCCTTTTCTTTTTTTCTGCTAGTGACACAAATAGTTTGCCAAATTTAATAAATTCTAGACAATTTGCCTCATCTTTTTTTATATGAACCTCCTGTAAACAAATGTCTGGGTTCTGTTTTACCAGTTTTGATAAAATTATCTTTCTTTTTTTATGATCGTTTAAGCCATTAACATTTAAGGATAAAATTTTTAGGCCATCCATTTTTTGTATTGTATCCGAATTCTAGTTCTTATTTGTCTTTAGCATTACTGCTCTTACTGGTCTAATCTTCTTTCCTTGTCCTTCCGCTTCTTCTTTTTTCTTCTCCTCCTCTATACCTTCCTTTGTGCTTTGCTCTTGTGAGGTTTCTTCTTCCGTGTTTACCGTATTGATCTCTTCTTTGCTAGTTTGTTCTTCTTCCCCTCCTCTTAGTTGATCTAAAAATTCTTGTGCTACGGCTAAGCTATCGATTTTAACTTTTCTTCCTTGCCATGATACTAGCATCCCCTCTGGCAGGATCCATCGAAATATAATGTTCCTTCTGTTCAGTTGGCTCGCCAGAAACCTGTAGTTTTTCCTCACTTCCCTCACCCTTCTAGGTATTTGTTTCAGGATATTTACCTCCTTTCCTTTAAATACAATCTGTTCTTCTCTCGCTATGTTAAGTAGAATATCCCTCACTTTCTTCCTGGCGAACTTCACGTGGACCTCCCTGGGGAGTCTGTTTCTTCTCACATAGTTCGTTTGAACCCTGTATACCTCATCAAGTTCTTTGATGATAACTTGTTTATCCTGTTGAAGGACATCTGCTATCAACTCGGCTATTTTATCGCCTAAATCCTCTTCCTTTTCTTCACAAATATTTTGGAGGCGAAGGTAGAATGAAGCCTTATCCATTTCCAATTGTATCAAGGACTCTTCGATTCCTTTGTTCTGTATCGCGAATGTCCGGTCCATCATATCTAGTTTTTTCTCACTTTGTTCCATCCTTTGTTCTACATTTTGAATTCTTCTTCTCTCATTATTCGCGATAGAGGCTTGGATCTCGGTCATTTTTGCGTCCAAAACGTGGATATCCGTTTTTAGTTCAGAGTGACTATTTAACAATTTCTCCTGCATTGCTAACATGGTCTCCTGAATCAGCAATAAAGAAGATTGTACTGTTTGAAGAGTTGGAGTTGGTGGCTTATCTAACTTCTGTATGCCTTCTAAAGGTTTCTGGATTACCGGAGATAGTGTTGTTAGTGTAGGATTAGATGAAGCTTTTTTGCCAGATTTTAAGATTGTCGATGTCATCGTTGCCATTTCTTTCAAGGTTAACTTTTGTTCTCTTATAATTTTCTCAATATTTTTCCAAATAACCATTCAATGGTTTTGCCCCTATTTCCTCTATTAATTCCACTTCTTGAACCTATTCAAGCGGTTTGCTATCTTCACTAGACAAGATCAATTCATCAAACTATCTTTCTTAGATCAAATCTTTGTAACACACCAAAATTCTCCGACTTCCTTAATGGTTTAAGACCTATGGGTTAAATCACACTACCAAATTCCGAATCAATTCTCACGTGTAAGCCAAGAGTTCTATACCTGTATATCCCAGTAAGTATTATAGATTTGATATGGCTATATTCAAACCTCAATATAAGAAAATTATAATAAATAAGTTAATACACACTACCTATAGTTCTTATATAACTAAATTCAAGCCTTAGTATATGGAATTGATATAAATAAGTTATTAGATATTACCCTTAAAAATAAATATATTAAAATAGATAGATATAACTAGATAAATATGTATAAATATGTATAAGTATAATCAATGCTATAAATTAATTAATTAATTGAATAATTATTAAATCTGGATCCTTATATATAAATATATCTAATGACAGCAAAATAAGATCAACAATTGATTTCTATATTCTATATTCCCTATCTTCCTTAACAGTTTGTAATTCTTATTAATATTATTGTTATTTAACAAAAGAACCAACATTCAAATATTGAAAACCCAATTACTTAAAAGAATAAAGGGGAGAATGGGGGTCAGAGTATCACAATTTGTGTATATGATATATTATAATGTATATAGTAAGAGTATATAGATCTTCTTCTTCTTCTTCTTCTCTCTCTTTTTCTTTTCCTCTTACTTTTCCTTTAGTAAATAATAATGACTACAAGATCGTAAGTCTTCTTCACTCCTGATAAGTTCCGACAAATTCTGACACTTCTCTATGGTATATCTCACTGCTAGATTGTCTTCTTGTCAGTCCTCTGCTGTCTCACTCCTTCAGTTCAACAATGGTCGCTCTTCCTGTTCCGCTGAAGCACTCAAAAAAGAAGCTCAGTAGATCGATCTCTTGCTCACTTTCCACCTCACTTATCAATCAGCGCCAGTTGTATCAATGCTTGTTTCCTTCTCCCTCTCACCACGCTCTCCAGAGTTCTCTATAAAAGTGACCTGCTCCCTGCGTATCTCGCGTCGGCCCATCGGGTCTCAACCGCTGCGATCCGCTCTGCCTGCACTCTCTGTCGCCGCCTCGCACAGCAGTCCTCTCCCGGCTCCGCCGACCTCCTCTCTCAACGCCAAATCGCCCCAAGGTATGGAAAACGCGATGTCAGATCTAGCACGGCACCCCGATCTTCTGCTTCGCTCCCGTCCTTTTGCTGGCTATTGCGGCTTCAGGCCCGCCATCAGATGACCGGCTCACCACGCTGGATCGACAGAGCCGCCCGGACTTGCGAGAGGTGTTTGCGCCTCACACTCTCGTTCGCCTGGCTCTCTCTTTTGTCCACAGGACTCTCCGGGACCTGCGCCTCTTAAGGTTGTAGAAAAAATGCTTTAAAAATAATAAAAAAAAAAAGTTGGCCGCGCCCACCCATCGCGACCCGATGGTGCGGTAGGTGCACTGCGGCCGCCGCCGCCCAGGCGGGAGAGGAGAAAGAGAGATGGAGAGAAGGAGAGAAAGGGGGGAGAAAGAGAGATGGAGAGAAAGAGAGATGAAGGAGAGGGGGGAGAAAGATGAAGGAGAGAAAGGGGGGGGGAGAAAGAAAGAGATCAGAGAGATGAAAGAGACACACAGAGATACTTGTTTAAAAGAAAATTCTGGGAGCCACAAAACTTGAGTGGGAGTAAGTGATATGGAGTTGGCAATGCCCACCCAGGTTTAAGGTTGTGTTTAAGTGTTTACATGTGTTTAAGGTTGAGTGTTTAAAGTTGCAGACCCCTGACCTACCCCATCCAATCGCTTCACTCTGCAGCCAGCCCTGTAGGCTGTGCCACCTCCCACCTGGGCAGCAGCAGCCTATCTACTCTGGTTGTATCACCTTGCCCTGCAGCTGACCCGAATGCCCACCTCGGACTGCCTCCGACCGCTCCAGTAAGTCATTTTTATTTAATTAATTTAATTAAGTGCTGCAATTAGCATAAATGATGACCGGTCAAAAGTGCGAGGACCTGTCAGAAATCACTTTTTTAGCCCTCAGTTAGTCCCTATGTGCATATGGACTACTCAGAGGGCTGAAAAAGTTATTTTTGACCGGTCTTCGCACTTTTGACCAGTCCTTGCACTTACAACTGTCCTCACATTTTACATTTTGCGCCCTATCTTGTCACCGTGGTGAAGAGAAGTAGTTGCGAAATGAGTGACACGGTTATTAAGAATGCTGCAACGGGCATAAATGTGAGGATGGTCATAAGTGTGAGGACCGGTCAAAAGTGCGAGGATCAGTCAGAAATGACTTTTTTCAGTCCTCTGAGTAGTCCCTATGGACATAGCCATGCCCAGGAAACCTTACATCATCTGGATTATTTTGGTGCCTCTAACAGAGAGGAAAATTGCCAAAAAGGAAAAGTAGTTTACTAGGACAAGCAGAGGAAGGCAGAGATAGTCCTTGACTTATGACCACAATTGAGGCCAAAATTTTGGTTGCTAAGCAAGAGCATTGTTAAGTGAGTTTTACCACATTTTACTCAATCCATGACATCTCCTGGTTCTAATAGTGAGTGATGTCAAGTTGGCCACGCCCACCCGGCCACAGGATCACCAAGCCACACCCACCCAGTCACGTGATCATCAAGCCATGCCCACCCCAGTCACATGCCCATCAAGCCATGCCCACCAAGCCTTGCCCATAGAACCGGTAGGGAAAATTTTTGGATTTCACCATTGTTCAGATATAGGGATGAACCCATGAGGAAGTACTTCCCAGCTTTCCGGCATTTAATTCAACCAGTTTATGAGTTGCAGTTATAAGTGTAACTTTTTCAAAGACAGCTCTCTTGCATTAAGAAATATTTCTTTTTTCAGAGCAGAATTTTTTGTTTATATCTTCTTTAAACAATTGTCAGTGTATTCATTTCTGAAAAATAGTCTTTTAAATTAAGATTTGAGTTTCAGTTTTCTAAACAAGTCAATGAACTCTTCAGAGACATTGTGAACATGAATGAAGAATGTAGTAGAGAAGAAATTTATTTCTTCGTATTGTTGTCAAGCTGCATATCTTCATAATTTCCAAATATATGAAAGTTAAATAAAGAAAATGAATTCCTTAAGAATGAGGCATTTATTTGGACCTATTTCTACATTATCTGAGTAGGGAAATGCCTTTGTGCTTTGGATGACTTTCACTGCTAAATATCCGGAATGTATGTGTTTGGGAGGGAGGGGTGAGAAAGAAAGGACTCTTGTTAGTTTTCAGTTTTTGAAGAACTTCCAATAATATCGATTATGGTATTCTCCACATACAGAACTGGAACAGTAGAATAGTTTTACAATGTCTCAAGGTTTTAAGGGAGAAGAGGCCCAAAATGTGATGTTGCTGCTATCCCAAGATGTGTAACCTGAAGGCTGTATTTAGCTGGCATTACTGCCCATGATTTACACTTGTTTTCCTAATACATTAAAACTTGAGTGACTAGTTTCTTATTCATTATTTCATGTAGGATATTTAATTGGATACCTAAAAGTTCCATTTGGTTCCTTAGGCATTAATTTTTATATTATGTCACTAGAAATTTATTCATTTAATAAAATTTATATGGCCTTTCAGCTTACTCTCAATGACTGGGCATCTTACAGATAAAACATAAAATAAAAAACAATACAATGTTGCGAAGCTGCAAACCACCTTGCCTGAATTGAGAAACTGCCTCAAATGAAACTGCCTTTTGCTTCCTCCGGAGCTAAAGTAGAGAGCTTCTTACAGGGAAGATTTCTCTGTCTTCTATTTTTCTTTCACAGCAGAATAAAAAAGCCTCTTCCTGTGAAGGCTTTTCCAGTTCTTTATTCTGATTTTCTTCTGGAGCAAAAGAAAGCCCTTTCTAGTGAAGCAGTTCCACTGGTTAATTGTTCTCCGTGTCAGGAAGTTTCTTCTTAGTTTTAGGTTGCTTCTCTCTTTGTTCATTCATTCAGTTTCCATTCATTGCTTCTTGTTTTGCCTTCTGGTGCTTTGGAAAATATATTGCCCCCCCTTCTTTCTGGCAGCCCCTTAAAAGCCTGTTGCCTATCACACTCTTGGGCAAAGTATGTGAGCCATTTCCTCCTTTCAGTGGTCCATGAAAGTGCATCTATAATATGTAGATAATAAAGTTGAAAAAAGATGAACAACATTTTTACAGAACTATAATTACATTGAGGCTGGTTGTGACAAGGAATGGCTGGGAGGGGCCAGGTGATGCACCAATTGATGTGAGTGTCATTGAGTTGGCCACGTCCACCTGTTCACATGACCACCAAGCCACGCCCACCAAGCCACACACACAGAAACGGTAGGGAAAATTTTTAGATTTCACCACTGGATTTAACCATGGCATATTTGACTGATCGATTGTTGGAGGAGGAGCAGAAACGGCTGGAGAGGCGACCAGAGAGAATGCTCAGAGAATGCTCAGCACAGACCAGCATCTGCAACAGTCCAGGATGCTGGCAGAGCAGCTGAGACAGTTTACACAGTGAAGAGGTCAGGAGTGAAATCCAGCAGGTTCTGACAGGTTCTGGAGAACTGGTAGCGGAAATTTTGAGCAGTTCAGAGAACTGGCAAATACCACCTCTGGGTGGCCCCAGAGTGGGGTGGGAATGGAGATTTTGCAGTATCCTTCCCCTGCTACACCCACCAAGCCATGCCCACCACGCCACACCATGCCTGCCACGCCACGCCACGCCACGCCCACAGAACTGGTAGTAAAAAAATTTGGATTTCACACCTGGAAGAGATGCTACATGTATGGTTCTACAGAGCATCTCCAGAGATGCTGCCCTGGGAGGAGAAACAGAGAAGCAGTGAGACACATGAGGAGTGGTTCTCCAGCATTGTTTTCCCTGGCAGCAACAGCATCTGAAAACACCAGGATTACTTGATTGTTGGACAGTGGGGCAAGCCAGCATATCGCTAATAATCCACAAGCGTTTTCTGATTCAAAACCAACTATGCAAACGTGTTAGACTGGCTAATGGTCAAAAAGCTGCTGCAAAAGGGGAAGGTAACATGTATGTCCTGAGATAGGAGAAACATTGCACAATGTCCTATATGTACCTGCATTAGATCATAATCTGTTAAGCGTATCCAGGTTAGACAGGCAGAATTACGAAATACTGTTTTCAGGAGGGCAGTAGTTCATTAGGAAAGGTGGAAGGATAAGTGCACAAGGGGTTAGGAAGAATGGCCTGTATGTTCTAGAAAGGCAGGAGAATAGTTGTGCACGAACTAATACAAATGCTCCCACACATGACAATTGTGTGCATTTGTTGCGTAGGGGGATGGAGCATGCAAGAGTTAGAGGGTTGCAGAAGATGCCAGACCTAGTTAGGTGGCATAAGCCACAGCAAAAGCCAAAGCAGTGCAAGATGTATGTAGAGTGCATTGTTTGTAAGGAGGAAAAATACAGGGTGTATCCTGGGAGTAAGGAAAACCCAAGGCAAACAAACAGAGGTATATATAGACCTGAAGGGTATAATAAAGGGTTAACTCCTGAGTGGTTCACTGCAAGTGAGGTTAGAGTAGATAGTGTTAGAAATAAACTCCATAATTACAAAGAGATATGGTCATGGTCATTGCCTAAGGAACAACACGATAAATGGAGGAAGCCGAAGTTAAAAGAAAATGACAGGCAGGCAGATAAACCAAATTGAGGAGATTGAGCTAGTGAAAAGAGAAAGTAACAGTATCCTGCCAAGAGATGGTAAACAGGATGTAATGGAGATTAATGAGACAGAGTGTACAGAGTCAGTAATGACCATAGGAGTAGTTCCAGCAGCTATAGTAGGAACTGAAGCTGGAGGCAAGGCCATAATGGAAACAGAAAGCATTGTGAGTATGTTAAAGCATTCAGCTGTTTAATTTTAAATGGGAGAAGTGTCAGGGTAATGATAATTTAAAGCTAACCAGCCCTTTAAGACTTGAGGATGAGTCAGCAAGGTTACTTCCCTTTAAGAAGCTGCCTATAAAAGGTAGTCTCTCTCTCTCATTCTCTCTCTCTCTCTCCCTCCCCATGTTCTATCTCCATTGTAGTTCTCTATGTCTATCAATGTGTGCCTCCTGTTATAGTTGAAGATAGATAGATTGATTGATTGCCTGGCTTTACTTAGCACTTGTATGTATATATATATAACTTGTAGATAAACCACTGTTTGAAAAACCTCTATGTACTGTATTTTGCTTCTGGGTTGTCTCAAAATAGTAGTGCACACTCTGACACACACTCCTCTCTGGTCCTGTGGTCTAGGTCGGTGCCATACTCAATAAGCTGCTAGGCACATTTCTAGGAATGTCTGAAGAAAGTCAAGTCAACTGATTCTAAAAGCAATGATAATCATCCTGAAATTATATGCAGTTGTTGATCATCAGATTACTATTATCTGAAGGCAGCAATAAAAATGAATGAACCACAGGACCATGAGGCCTATATTTTGGTTCTTGTAATCAGGATAATCCAGAATTCAATCAAGAAGACTCTGCTTGAACTTTTTGAGAAATAGGGTTAGGCTGGAAAATATTGCGTTCATTCAGGAAATATTGGATGTAAACATCAGCAAAAATTGAAGAGGGATGAAGAGAGATGGGGAGGGGAGAAGCAGAGGATATTTAATACCTTTCTTAACCTGTTGTTCTTCATTGGTTGTTTTATCAGTAATCTTGCCATTGTATTCCGATTTGCTGCTTCCAAATTATCTCCAAGTGTGCTCCCCCCCAATAATGTGTTGCAGTAGTGTAATATAAAAAAATTAGACACTGTAAAAAATATAAAAGCCATAGGCAATCTTGTGAATATTATTGGGAGAGAATAGAAAGGGAAATGGGACATTGCAACATAGGTTGCTGAGTAAGGAAATAGTCTACATCTTAAACAACTAAATATATAGATTATGGAGATTTTCAGCGTGATAGGAATGAGGGATGAGTGGGAATATAACCTTTTCTGTGATGAATATGAGACCAAAGAATTATCTTGACTGTCTAGTTGTGTTTTTATTCCTGCTTTGAAAACATGCATAAGAAAACAAGATTTTTCCCCCCCATAACATTTGATTTGCTGATATTTTAATAACATTATGGAGACAGTTAATAACAGATACCAAATCTGAGCAATGAAAAAGAGATTTGGCAAATGCATGCAAGCCAAAAAAATCATAACTAGTACCTATCATGGTCAGTGAATCTATATAAGCAGAGGTGGGATTCTACCGGTTCACACTGGTTCGCTAGAACTAGTTGTTAACTTTCTAAGCAGTTTGGAAAACCGGTTGTTAGAAGAAATCTCCTTTTGTTTTTTTCCACTTTACGAGGTTAATCCTGTAAGGAATTACAACATTCTGGTGTTGTTTCTAGCCTAATCTTTATTGCCCTGCTTATTGAAACTGCCTCTCCTTTAACCCTTGTTACATTCTTGGCAGACTTACTGTCACCTGAGCTTCTCTGGAGTTTTTTTTTTTCTTTCTTTGCTTAACTTTCTTAAAGGTGAAGGGTTGTTTTAAGCTTTATACACTGCTGTTGGGAGGAAATACTCCCCTGCTGGAGTTCTTCCAGCCGGGATGCAATGATCAGCACTTCGAAGAAATAATTGAATAACGAAGCAGAGCTGCCGGAAAGAAGCTTTTAATGACAAGGAACCAAGATGAGTGACATTCAGCAAGGCTTCTTGGCTAGCTAGAAAGATTGACATTTAAACGTGAGTTTACATACCCTTTCTGACTTTTGGTCTAAAACTGGTTTTTGGTGAAGTTTAATTCTGTGCTTGGTGATGTTTAATCCTGTGGTTATTGATGGGATAATTTCCCCTATTCAGCTTTGTTTGGAAGGAAAAATGTTAATCTCTGTTCCTGAAAAGAAGCAGCTTCAGAAATCTGGCTATTTCCTGTGTCTATTTGTTCTGGTAATTGGTTTAACAAGCAACAGCTACTGTGTTTGCTCCTTTGCTTCATTGACCTCTCTGCTAAAGGGTTTCACTTTATGAGCAAGAGTTGGCTGCTGATAGTTATCATTGCATTTTAACTATTTTAATTCCTCAACATGCTCTGGCACCTTGCCTGATTTGTAACTCCAGCTTGCAGGTATTTCTAATCTAATGATTGGTATTTAGAGCAACTTTTTGCAAGCAAAGAAGTTTTTTGTATTTTTGTACAAGTATCCCTTGACTTACAACAGTTCATTTAGTGACCAAAGTTACAATGGCACCGAAAAAAGTGATTTATGACTGTTTTTCACACTTACGACCATTGGAGCAAACTGTCATTAGGGCAAAGAAGTGATGTCAAGTTGGCCACATCCACCTGGTCATATGACCACCTGGCCATGCCCACCCGGTCACATGAAGCACCGCAGTTGTGAAATGAGTGACACGGTTGTTAAGAATACTGCAACAGGCATAAATGGTGACACAGTTGTTAAGAATACTGCAACAGGCATAAATGATGATCAGTCATAAGTGTGAGGACCAGTCAAAAATACGAGGACCAGTCAGAAATCACTTTTTTCAGCCCTGTGAGTAGTCCCTATGCACATAGCCACAGCCACCCAGTCACATGACCACCAAGCCATGCCCACCCAGTCACATGACCACCAAGCCATGCCCCCAAATAAGCCACGCCCACAGAACCGGTTGTTAAAAAATTGAATCCCACCACTATATATAAGTATCAGAAATCAAGAATGATTATCTTTATGTTTCATGGAACTATACTATGTACAAGAAAATTACTTTTGTGTGGAAATTTATAGCAGCAGTAGGGAATCTGTGACCCTCCAGATATTATTGAACAACTCACAATCCATGGCCACTAAACTTGCTGGCTAAATCTGTTTGAAATTCAACAGATGGAAAGCTAAGGACCCAGAACAAATTTCTGTTGTACTTGATTGTGCTGTAATAGTGCAGTCTGATATTAATGACCTGAAAGTCCCAATGAGAATAGTATACAAGGTTTAATTTTAAGAAAACTGCTTGTATTGATACCACATGTCTTAAAGTAATAAGAAGCAGCAAAAGTACTTTGGGCAATTATCCAGAAAACTGAAACTCAATAACTAGTAATAAATGTCTGTCTAGACAGAAAGTTGTGGTGATTCACCTAATAGCTATTGTCATCTATATTTTATTATTGAAAGATTATTGAAGTGATCAAAATAGTTTAAGTTTCATATGTTTTCATATCTGTGCAGTTTCAGAAACCATTTTCTCATATCCATGTATCTGTTTGTGGCTTATTTTGGTTTATACATATTAATTTATCTAGATGTAGGATGGAAGAGAGCTTCAAAAATGCAGAGTTTAAGCATTATAATTCAGCATGCCTGTTTTTGTCAGGTATACACAATTTGTTTGTGTTTCTTGGTCCCCTGAAAATTTAAATTCAGATTGAAGAATTAAGGCACCTATCACAAATTAAGAAAACACAGCAACTGTTGCTTAAAATGTTTCATAATTTTGTACTATGCATTGTTCTAATTAAGGACTACATTGCATATATCAACAGTCTTCTATTGCTTCAACACAATTGCCAAGGGCATTAGAAAATAATAAATTGGGACATTAAGCATTTTGTAAAAAAATAAAATAAAAAAAAAATCCAGGCAAGATTGAGATTTCAAGTCTTTATTACTAGTGACCTTATACTTAAATGACTTATATGAACTGGAACATATTCTGCATACCAATATTATAGCATTGAATATAAAGCAAGTTCCCACTTTAAAAATATTATACTGGCAATATACAATTATTGTGTTTAAAGCCTTTTTGTCCAAAATTCCTCAAGCTAGTTAAATTTCATGATCTTCCCATTTGAACAAGAAACTAACATTGAGGTTATAGATTCACAAATGAAAATCTTTTGTCCTTAATAGCCTTTAGTTTGTCTTGCTAGTACAAGCATGTTGTTCTTTCCCAATTTTTCTTCAATTCTTTTAGAATTATTTTCTGCTGTTCTGACATCAATTGGTTTGCTTTTTCAGATTTCCAAAGAAATAATGTAGAAGATTAGTAAAATTTACATAAAATATTTGACAACATTCAAGAAAGGTTATTTCATTAGTCTAATTGCAGATTTGAACACTTCATTAATTTCCAAACATCTGAAAATGAAAGGAAAAAGGTTTACTTTTCCCACAAGACATCCTTAAAATATGATTTATAGTTCCCATAAATTCTTGATCAATGCCAATCCTATTAACTGGCAAGAGGCTGCTGGATTAAGAAAAGATATAAAACTCAAAGCTGCAGAGGTATACGTCTCCCTCATCCCAAATCTTAGATCCATTCTTGAGTGATTTCCTTAAATTGTTATCAAAATATGATGTTTAATCTCAGGAAGATTAAAATTGAGAATTGCCATATGGATTATATAATTTTCATTACAGTTGAGCATACATTGATACTTAATGCTACATTTGCATTTCAGTTACTCATAGGTCTATGAATAGTGATCCATCTTATTCAGTAACAAGCAACTTGATGCTAATCACATTTCTTGATCTACAGTCACTTGATCCTGACTATGCTGACTGGTAAAACAGAAGTTGGAATCTTAAACATTCAGGAGATGTCTGGTACAGTGGTGGGTTACTCCCGGTTGCACCGGTTACTCCCGGTTTGCACCGGTTCTAGTAAAATCAGTGGGAGGCTCCACCCACTGACTCTGACGTCATCAAAATGCTTCTGTGCTTGCACAAAAGAGTGCGTGCAAGCAAAGCAAGCATGTGTGTGCGGACACGTTGTGAACCGGTAGTAAAGGTAAGAAGAACCAACCCCTGGTCTGGTACCAGGTTACTGGTATCAAATTAACTGCAAGTCTGTCTGGGATTGTTCAGATAGTCAGCTTACCTCTGCATGGCGGTCATCAAGACATGAGTAGCTGCACTACTCACAAGTTTATGCACGTTGCAGAAATGAACCAATTGGGAGGAAAGAAAAAGAACCCAATGCCCAACCCATCCTACCACAACCAAAATTGGAAGCCTAGAAATGAGTGTCAAGTTTTTGTATCTGCTCTGAACTCTACATAATGGTCAAATTGTAATTTGTAGTTTATACCTTTTGCATGTGGCCCAGCAGAAGTATGTTAAGCTACGCTTGAGGTTGAAAGTACTCCTTCCACCATATTTTGAATATTAACTATCCAAATATCTTTATATATTATTAATTATACAGCTACCATACATGGCCTGATCCAAATAATGTTTAGCATCTTTCTTTATACATAGATGTGTAATGGTGGATAGTGGAAGAAATCACAAGGGACATTATCTATGCAACAGCAGGGAAAGGAGCAATGTTTGCAATGTTTATATCTTAATTTACACAGTTACATAGCTGGCTAATCCAAATAATGTAACTGATCAATGTACAAACGGTGCTTTTTAAAAAAATGAAAATCTACTTACAATAGATGGATAAGCATTGCTGACCATCTTTTCAGGGAATAAAGAATCACTTTGCAGGTATTCTGGAAAAGCAGAGCCATTCTCATCAATTAAATGAATTTTATTTGGTGGAGTCTTGTCAAATGGAGTGCTGGGAATAAAATAATGTAATAGAAACTGGAGTCAATGGGAAAAGGTTTTAATGCAATACATAAAAGTGCTACATATTTTTTCTTAATTTCATTAAAAAGCAAATATTTTTGAAAGTTTTTTTTTTTAAAGTCCACATTAATCATTTTCACTCAGTCTGATGGAGAAAAAAAAGAATCTTAAAATTTAGTGAAATAAGGAATAGCTGAATTCTAAGAATAGATTGTACTGAATTTTATGGCTAAGCTAACAATGTCTGATTAAAAATTTAAACTTGGAGAATAGTGAAATTAACAGAATATACAAAACAAAACAAAAAAAGAAACAAAAAGGATCTGCCTGGAAAAAAATAGATAGTAAGATAAATTTAACCAAATTCATCAATAATGGCTTACGTATACACAACACATTGCACAGCAAGGCAAATACAAATATTTACAATATTCTACAGACAATGTAAATTGTATAAAAAGGGGGAAGTTAGATATTAAATAACTATCTATTTTTCCAAGAAGATTCTTTTTGTTTCTTTTTTCTTTTTTCTTTTTTTAATGCTCTCTTTTAAAACTTATTGTTTAACAAAACAATAAAAAATAATAACAATACAAAATACAAATACAAAACAATAAAAAATACAGTGGAATACTTCAGTATTAAGTATAAACCTCAAGAATGAAAGCATTCGCATAAAATAATTCGAAGGATTTTAAAATTGTTTATCAATATCATACTTAGCATTAATTGCACTGTTTAAACAGCCCAATGTTCATTAATATTTTAGAAATCATATTTAACCTTCATTCTTTTCCCCCCTCATCTTTAGTTTAGTTTATCTAAATTGTCACATCCTTGATCATTTCTAGTTTCTATCATACAACTATCAATGTATTCAGCTACTATCTGTATTTATAATTTTTCACATTTTATAATGCAATTAAACAACAGCAAGGGAGAGGGAAATTTATTACTAAAACGTGAGTTTGAACGCTGTGTTTTTAATTTTATTCTGACTTCTCCAGTTCCTTGCTTTCTACACTTTAATTAAAACTCAAAGCTAGACAGTATGACATAATATTTATTCTCTTTTGTAAAGAACTCCTAAAGAATTTCTAAAGCACCTGATAGAAGACCTAACCTTCTTTCCCAATAAAAGAAAACATTTGTGGAACTTGGTGACATATTTTAGTTTCTAGCAATTATATGTTATTTGTTAAATAAAACCAAGATCTTAGAATTGCTGCTGTTGCATAACAGTTTCCAGTCTTATGCAGCTCTACTGGGGTCCCAAGCCTTTTCAGAAGGCCAGAAGGTGGGGATGGATTTCACTTCCAGTGGCAAGATGTTCAACAGGGCAAGTGCCATGGCAAAAAAGGCACTTCTCCTGGATCCTGGCAGATGAAATGCCTTGGCTGATAGGGATAGAATAAGAGGAGTGGGTCAATCCCATTGGAGCAACATATGCAAGCTAAAAGTGAAGCCTACAGCCAGCCATACTGATTAATATGGTTCTTGCTGTTGCTGTATTGGATTGCTAGTTGCCTTGCTTCAGTGAGTTTTTATATTTTTGCTTGCAACTTGATGAATGGTTAGACAACAAGTGAAGTTTGTGCTGAACCTGGAGATAAATCTGAAGGATAAGTGAACATTTTAACATGCTATTTTCATAGAAAGTTGTTTCACAAGCTTTCAAATGCACAGGAGCTATGACAGGATAGGATGCCATTCCATTCAGGATAGAATAACTATGCCATTTTTCTACCGTATCTTTTATTTCAGAGCCCACTATTTCTGTTACTGTCTAATACAAGCCTTAATTTAGTGCAGTTAACTATTTCACATTCAACTGAAATAGAAACTAGGAAGAATGAGAGAGTAATTCTTGCTCAGACCAGCCAATTCCTAAAGACTCCAAAGGAACTGAGTGCAAGGTTTTTGCCTTAGGAGTAAATGAATTCTAGCAAGATTATTGAGGCAACTGAACTAAAGAAGATTTCTTATGAGGGTTTGAGGCAGGAATCCACAATGCCTCTGAACAGGTCACTAAGGCAAGAAACTCACATGGATCCATGGTGCCATGAAACATACCTTGGTTTTTGATGACTGATTTTTGCACATATTCTCTTGAGCTCTGGATGTGGATAGATGTGTATTTCATCTATTAAGACAAATGGTATCATTATGGCAAGTGAGTGATATGTGAGAAAATTGCAATCTTCAACTCTGTGCCAGAATAAGATTTTACTGTTTTCAGTTCCTATCTTGATATAAAATGTAGCCTAATAGTTTATTTATCCCACTATCACGTACTTTGAAAACACAGTGGTTCTTCAAAATCTCAGATAGAATCTCTAACTCAATCCTTAATCTTTGTTCTTTGAGATTGTTTGGATTTTTAAAAACTTTATGTGTGTGTGCAAAGTATGAAGTATTTCTTTATTATAAATATTTCTGACTGAACTCAGGATTTCAAAGCAGTGAAGGATTGTTTCTCTGGGATGCACATGGACAATATTCTGTACTGTTTTTAGGTGTGCACAGAGTCCACAGTTTGCTTCTCCAGAACCCTGTGATGGCACTGAAGGGTGGAACTGTCTACCCTGCAAAACACAGGGTAAAATGTGGGAACACTGAATGTCATGATAAATTCATGATTTGCCTTCAAATCAAGGTTAATACTTACAATCAGGCCAGAATCAGTTGTCAACGTTTCAACATATTCTGGGATGCAAAGGTCACGGGGCAGGGTTTTTTCCCTATCTAGTTCTGATTTATCATCTCCACTTTCCTATTCTAAATTATTGTGATAACTTTTCTTAATTACATTAGCTCAGAAAATATTACTGGGAAGATAACAATTAACTATCTAAAGTTAATAAATGTTGTAGGTTGGAAAAATTAACTTTTTAAAAGGTTTATTTATTAATTTATTAATAATTACAGGTTAATGTATTTTACTTTTGTTTTAAAACATATAGCCAACCTTTTCTTCTTTTTGTCTTCCTGCAGACATTTACCTACCAGCAGAGAACCTGGGCTAAGTATGAGATACTGAATCTCCAAGGACGTAATAGTTTTTCCTTACTTTTCTGGCAGATACATTAAAAGGTGAGGTAGTAATAACCTGATTCTTCTCACGGCAGTTGATCTGAACACAAAGTTACTGATTTAGCATCTCAGCTAACTTTGCAACTCAGTCCAAAGAATCCAACCCATGTTTTCTGTCTTTAATTTGCATTAACTTTGTATCAAACTTTTTTTCACAATTCTTTCAGTCTTTCTAGTTATGAATCTGGACCTCACCCAACTATTTTAGCTGATTTGGCTAAAATATTTTCAAAGGGCTTGATACAAACATTGTTTTCTAAAAGATATAAGCATTTCCCTAAAGAGAAAGTTTACACCATTCATGCATATTCAATAGAAACAGAAGCACAATTCTCTGTCAGTATTTTTTCTTTTCTTTTTGGGAGTTCTCTGCAAAGCAGTCAGCTATCATGCAACTTACTTTTGAGCAGATGTATTAATGGCTGCAGAAATTTGACTGCGTACTCAAGTTCAGCTTTGTGGATTCTGCCAAGCTGTACTATGTGATGTTCCAAAGGAAAGCTTGCCAGTTCCATAAGTTCTATGTAATCATACTCAGGTCCTATTGAAAGTACAAATACAGCATAGCCTTTGCATTTGGCTCTTAGGGCTGCATCACTCAGTACTTCCTTGTCCCAATGACTTGTTTCCCCAACAGATATGATAAAAATAGCCTTTTTCTCTCTCTGGTTAAGTCCTTCTGAAAAGATATGATTGATTGTCCATTCTATGGCATGGCCAAGTGCTGCTTCTCCATTTAGTTTCTCAAAAGACTTTTCAATATGCCTCTTCATTTGTCTTTTACTTTCATATGTCACCAAGTCAAATTCAACTTTTACTGGAAGCTTCCATTCTTTTTGGAATTGGAAATTCAGTGGAGCATGACTCACAATAGCTATCCGATCACCTATCAAAGAGGTTTTTGGATTTGTAGAAATTTTAAAGCTGTCCAATGCTCTACTTAGGAAATGTTTTAGTTCTTCAAATCCAGTAGTGCTTATTTTCCTGGTATTTTCCAGAATGAATGCAGCATCCATATAAGCTTCAGGTTTGAAAGGTGGAGTTCTGAAGCAAGATTCATCTGGTTTGCATTTGTCTACAAATAATACATAAATATTTTAATTATAGAAAATTACTGAAATTGAGATCTGATCACTTTGCAATTTTCATGTGTTCTTACCATAGCAAATTACGCACATCTGAAGTTTTTTTAAGGCTGAAAGATCACTCTTCTGATGGAGGTGGATAACTTGAAATAATCCTGTGCTGTCCATCTAAAGTAATGGAAAATAAAAATATAGTTTGGCACAGCTTGGCAACAAGATGTCTGACTCTATCTGCTTCATTACTAAATCCAATGACAGTTTACAGGACAATGTTTGATAATAATTGATGCTTGACAGCTGGGATTTCATAAAATATATATTCTCTTCATCATACAAAAGATGTCCTTAAACCACAACTAATTAAGTGTAATAAAACTGCAATACAGAAAAACAACTTCTGTCTGCTGCCCATGAAATGTATAGTACCAAAGGATAAGTACAGTTTTCTATATTTATCCACAATAGCTTCGTGATAAAGATATGATACATTGTCTTTTGATACTGTGCCATGGTGCCATGCTGGTAAGAGAAGTAAACTCATATCCTAGTTTCGAATTTCAAGATTACAACCCTTTGTGCAGAATCCTAGTCTGTGAAGATGATATGGGTGAATTAGATGGACAAGATAATGTTAGGCTATTTGGTCTTCATTTCAGGATCCTTTTATGGGTGGAGGTTATTTCAATTTTAGATCAATACTGTCTCCCTATGTCCAACTCACTTCATTAGGCTGAGCCAAATAATTATTCTGAATTAATATTTTGCAAAAACAGTTTTTGCACTGGGTCTCCTGGAGCTGTGATGTAGAAATCCTCACTTTGTTCTGTTGCTTGATTTAAGAGATTCCCACATCCCACTTGCAACTAAACAATTGTGCTGATTTGCCAGTATCCCCACTTCCTCCCTGACTGCTTCAAAGAATGGCTTTATCTTTCCCCATAGAGAATCTGGATACAGTTTTATGCTTCTTTTCTCACAGTGAAAAAGAAACTCAGCAAAAGGCATAACCACAACAAAGCCAGAATCACATCAGTATGTGGGTTTTTGCACTCCAACTACTACCCATTGGCTATCTGGAAGGAGTCCTGAGTAGCTCCATAGCAATAGTAGACGGACTCAATATGAATATTTATTGAATAGCACAAATCTGCAGAACAGAATAAAAGGGCTATACCAATAAAAAGGCCTTCATTTATAGTAATTTGATCTGTAACACTTAAATATCATATCAGGCTCCATACAGTATATGCTAAATTTCTTGAGACAGTGCTTCTGATAACCAAAAAAGAAAAAAGGCAAGGTTCTCACCTCAAAAGCTTGGGTAATTTCAGGGATGTTTTTAAAAGTAATGACTGCTGGCTGGATACCTAAGGCACTGAACTCTAGAACCGCTGTACCAATTGAGTCAGGATGGTCAGATTCTCCATTGCTAAAGAAGACAGCAACTTTTCTCACATTAGCACCTTGGAGAGTTCGCTTGAAGATATGCCTGGCAACAAACTTCATTGATCCGCCAATGTCGCGTCTATTGGTTGTTCTCTGCAAAGAAAGTCTATTGAGCTCCTGCAACAACTTGTTCTTGCTCTGGAAATCTGTAAAGCGGATCAGATAGTTGGTGTTGGAGCTGTAGGACACAACAGCCACTCTGGCTCCCACAGGACAATTGCTCTCTCTGATGTTTGTTTGGTTCACAGTCTCTGTGACTATCTTTTTCATCTGTTCAAACATCTGTAGTGTGATATCCTGGGATATATCCAAAGCAAACACTAATTCTGTTGGATATGCTGGACATTTTGGTATTTCTGGAAAGCAAATAAGATTATAAAAATAATCATATCTTGCCTAAGGATAGCAATCAGCAATATTGGAAGACAATCTTTTTGGATTGAATAGTTATCCTGCCTTTCTTAGGACTCTTTGAGGTTACAAAAGTAAACAGGACAACAAAATATAACAGGCAGAACTGTGACACATATGTATACTAGGATAGGATAGGATAGGATAGGATAGGATAGGATAGGATAGGATAGGATAGAATAGAATAGAATAGAATAGAATAGAATAGAATAGAATAGAATAGAATAGAATAGATTTATTGGCCAAATGGGATTGACGACACAAGGAATTTGTCTCTGATACATAAACTGTAGCGTAGTACATACAGGCAACAAGTGAAAAATCATGAACATAATCATAAATTAAATAATCATAAATCATAAGATACAACATTCAGTGATACTCATAGGATACTAAATAAGCAATCAACATAAATCGTAAGATACAAACATAATAGTACAAAGCATTTAAAAGAGGAGCAAGCAAAGCACCTGTCGAGCCGTGTCCACCATGTCTGTCGCTCAACACATGAATTGCGATGAATGGAGATTCAGGCAGGTGGCACACAAACCTAATATGACTGGGATCAGGGTAGGAGGCACGGAGCATGGCGAGGGTACACATTGATAGGAACCTGGATACGGATGGTGATGGTGGCACTGGGTGACAAGCAGCTGATGTCGCTGGCGGTGATCAGAGAGAAATGATGCAGGAAGAAGACGCGGAAGGGGATAATGAGCAACTCGTTTGAGTACTTCCCCCCCCCAAAAGCTGTGATCGTCGGCGGAGTGAGAACCTGAGTGATTGGGGACATGGACTTGCCTTGAAAACGGGCGCTGAGAAGCGGAAGCTCTCAGTGCCAACTTTAAACTTGCAGAACTCTGTCTTGTAGCTGGTTTGTAGCTGTAATAAACCTGCCTGTGACCAGCATTCCAGTGCGTTCAAGTCCTTTGTGGCAACTCAGAACAAATGTGGCCAAGCAAGCCAAGAGAAAGTTGGTGCTACTATCTTCTACAAGTCTCTGTGATAAGGTATGGGTACGAAGCAATGGCGGAAGGCACCGACAGACAGACAGAGGATATGGCAGACCCAGGAAGTGTGGAAGAAGAGGAGAAGGAATTAGAGGTTACAGTGATAAGGGAGGACATTGAACAACCCATAGTAAGACCCAAGGAAGCCAGAGGAGGGCATGGCTGAGGGCAAGAAGGCTCCTGAGGCTGGCACTGTCCCATCATCTTCCTCTGGACATTGGTGGCACAGTTCTGCTCTAACAGAGACTGGGGGACACAGGCCACCAACACCGCCCCCCACTCCATTTCAGGAATGGAGAGAGAGAAGATGGAGGGACGATGAGGAGTGGGAGTAGAGCTACTCCACAGGACCCGGCCCCAATACTATGGAGGTCTTATGAGATAGGTTTGGAGAGGCCAGTTTCAGGGATGCGCCATCATGGCAACCCTGGGCTATGGGACTGGAGGCATCAGGAACTTGGCAGGGGGGTCCAGAGCTGAGGCGTGGTTCCACTTGGCAAGTCCAAAACTAAGAGTGGAGCAAGACTCCAGCCAGACCAGCCCTACGGAGCGACAGGCCACCGGAACTCAGGCATCATCTCTGGGTGCGGTAATGAGAGGAACTGAACGTATCCCGCGTAGAGACCAGAGGGATCAGGACGCAGCCAGAAAGGGTCAAAGAGACAGCAGGGGCCTCAAAAGTCAGATGGCAGGGCCTCAGGACCCAGTGTAATAGATCAAATGCCCTTTTGGCAGCCAGGACCCTGGACTCAGCAGATGCCTTCGGGGTCACCGCCTATCCAGGCTTCTTTTGATGGCAGCTTCTGACCGGGTGGCCTTGTTTTTAGTGAAATTATTAGCTTTTTGGACGTATACGGATGATGTTACCCATCTCAATGGGCTATGGTCGTAGCTATCACAACTGTGCTAACGGGGGAAGCTGCTGATTTGGTAGCAGACCTACATAGCAATCATGCTAGGGAGTTGGCTGACCCTATGAGTAAGTTTTGAGGACAAGTCCCGGGCACAAGTAGCTGAGAGGGAACTTGTGGGCCTTAGGCAGAGGGGTCGCCCTGCTAAGGAATACGTCAAGGAATTCCATAAAACTACAGGTAGGCTGAGAACGTGGCCTGAACGCCTCCTCGTCCACCAGTTCCAAATGGGATTAGACCGTGATATCAAACAGGGATATTTATTTATAGGGATTATCTCCCTGTTTGGCTGATTGGTTCTGGGCCGTGGTGGAGTTGGATGTTGGACTGAGGGAGTTTCGAGGACGGGTGAAGCTGGACTGAGTCGACAAAGTATGGACAGACCCATTTCCAACCACCGCCAACAGCAAACTGGGCCTGTCACCACCAGCAGACCTGGCAGGCCTCCTTTTCGATGTTTTCTTTGTAACCAGGAAGGCCACTGAGCCGTTGAATATCCAATACCCCCACCAAGAGTGGTCCCAAGCCCTGTGATAACAAGACCCAAAACTAGGGAACGGCAGAAACTGACTCCAGGACACTCCAAAATAGCTTCACAGACATCATTATCCAGCAGGGTCAAAACATATACCATTGGGGTTAGCAGCCCACCCCCAGGACTCGCATGACTAACCACACCGTCCGGTGAAAGTGAGGATGAGGTTCCCAAGGCCCCGATGGTGAGCGAGCCTATTCGGCCCTTTGTAATACCAGTGACTACTTAGAATCCTTTGGTCTGGAACAGGGTGCTTTGGTCGATTCTGGTTGCACTAAGTGCTTGATTCGGCAGGCAGTAGTTGAAAAATTGGGGATTTGCATGGTGAAGCTGAAACAGCCCATTAACTTTGAGCAAATGGATGGTTCCACCCTGGGAGGTGCTCCTGCTACCCATGTTACTGAGCCTGTACGATTAGAGATAGAAGGGCATCGGGAAGAACTTAGATTTATAGTGGTTGATAAAATGATCAAGCCCATCATTTTAGGTTTGGCATGGTTAGACAAATGGGAACTCACTATCTGGTGGGAAGGAGGGTTCCGTAAAATCAGAATTGCCATGGGCCCTGAACCACCTGACCAACAGCAAAAATCTGAGAAAGAAAGAGTAAAACAAACTGTAAACCTTGCGGCTGGGGGTTTTCTGGATATATACAGGGATTTGGCAGATGTTTTTAGTGAAGAAGAGTGCGAGATATTACCGCCTCATAGGTTGACTGATTGCGCAATTGAACTAGTCTCTGGAGCCAAACTGCCAAAGCCCCGTATGTACTCCATGACCCCAAAAGAGCTGGGTGAATTGAGGTGATATATAGACAAAATTTGGCTCACGTTTCATTCAGTAGGTCCCATATGGCTGTGCCAGTCCTGTTTAGAGAGAAAAAGGATGGTGATCTACACTTGTGCGTGGATTTCCATGGCCTCAATGCTGTCTGTGTGGAGCATTTATACCCCCTGCCCTTGATGAAAGATTTACTTGCTACACTGGTTAATGGCTGGATATTTACAAAACTTGACTTATGTGAAGTTTATTACTGGCTGCGTATCCAACCAGGGGAAGAGTGGAAAACAACGTTTAATTGTCTCCTGGGTAGCTATCAATTTTGAGTGATGCCATTTGGGTTGCAAGGGCCCCCGGCTGTATTCATGCAGTTGATAAATGAGGTCCTGCATGAACACCTCTACTGGGGTGTACTTGTGTACCTGAATGACATCCTCATATATACTAAAACAATGGAAGAACACTTCCATTGTTCGTCAGGTATTACAGAAGCTCTTGGATGCCAAATTGTTTATAAAAATGTCCAAATGTGAATTCCACTGCACTGAATTAGACTATTTGGGATACAGGATATCTGGGGAAGGAGTAGAAATGGATCCTGCAAAAGTTTGAGCAGTGTTGGAATGACAGGCCCCCCAAACATGGAAACAATTGCAGATTTTTCTGGGGTTTGCCAATTTCTATAGACATTTCATACCCTTATTCACCAAGGTAGCATTACCCTTTACGGATCTGTTATGTACTAAACCCACTAATTTGAAGCCGTGACCTAGACAGGCGAGTCAGTGGTCGTTAGAATGTCCAAAGGCTTTTGAGAAGTCACTCTTTTCTAAGGAACCTATTCTAAAACATCCTACACTAACCCAACCATACATAGTACAGGTAGATACGAGTGATGTAGCTGTTGGGCAGTTTTGTTACAAAAAGGTGCGTAAGGTAGACTCCAACCATGCACATACACATCACGAAAATTCACACCCACAGAGAGGAGATGGGCGATATGGGAGAAGGAGACTTTTGCAGTGCAATGGGCCCTTCTCACCTGGCGACATTTATTGGAAGGAGCTAAAAACCCATTTAAGGTCTGGACCTACCATAAAAATCTAGTGGCCCTCCAAAACCCACGAAGATTGCCCACGAAGCAGGTGCGTTGGGTGCAATATTTCCATCGGTTTAAATTCACCCTTAAGTATGTACCTGCTGGAAAAAATTTTTAGTGGATGCCCTTTCTCACATTCCCCAATATAATAGTAAACGAGAGGAAGTGATACAGGCTATGATACCTCCAGAGCAAGTAGCAGGATAAGTGCAGGGCAACGAACCTTTAACTCCTTGGTTTATCTCACTACGTAATGCATTGACGAACAACCAGTGGTTAACAGACAACACCATGTTGGTCACCTGATGAGCTGGTCTTGCCTGGAAGGGAGACAAACTATATATTCCCACAAGCCTCAGACCTTCTGTACTGAAGTGATGTCATGATGTAAAAACTGCTGGTCATTTCGGATTCCTAAAAACACTACATCTTGCGCGACGCCAATTTTGGTGGCTGAGAATACGATCAGATATTGAGGAGTATGTTCAAAGATGCCCGACCTGTGCTATAAATAAACCAAGGCCAGGTAAACCATTGGGTCTGTTGCAACCAGTAGCCAAACCTGAACGTCCATGGGATGAAATTGCCATGGATTTCATTGTAGAACTTCCAGAGAGCAATGGCAATACAGTCATCTGGACTGTAATAGACCTGTTCTCGAAACAGGCACACTTTATACCTTGTAATGGTCTCTCCTCAGCATGGCGGTTAGCAAAGTTGTTTATTCAACATAATGGTTGCACGGGTACCCCGGCGAATAATCTCCAACCAGGGGGTGCAGTTCACTGCATGGTTCTGGTGAAACGTCTTACAGCTGGTAGGGTCATCGCAAGGACTGAGTTCAGTGTTTCACCCCAGCACCAATGGTGTGGCGGAAAGAGCTAAAGCGATGATAGAATGTTATCTAAGATGCTACGTATCCTATCAGCAAACAGATTGGTCTAGCTTAATACCTTTTGCTGAAGTAGTTTATAATAACGCAGAGCATCGCAGTACTAGATTCACCCCTTTCCACATAGTGACAGGCCAGGATTTCCCAGCTATCCCAGAACTGGAGACGCAAGCAGCAGGGACTGGGTCAGGAATTGATCCATCAGGGTGGGCCGATAGGATTCGAGAGGTCTGGCCGCAAGTCAAGCAATTACTAAGTGCCGCAGCAGAGGAATATAAACGACAGGCAGATAAGAAAAGGGCCGATCATACACCATTCCAAGTGGGAGATAAGGTGTACTTGTCTACAAAATATATAAAACTAAAAGTACCCAATAAAAAGTTGGAACCAAAGTATATCGGGCCCTTTACAATCACCAAAGTGATCAACCCTGTTACAGTGGCTTTAAAATTACCTTCCGTACTAGGAAAAATCCATCCCATATTTCACAGCAGTTTGCTGAAACCCGTGAAAAGTATTACTCTACCTGTGGAGACACCTGGACCGGTATATGGTGACCAATATGAAATAGACAAAATCCTTGATTCCCAACTATACAGGGGTAAGGTTCGGTACCTAGTATGATGGAAGAGTTACCCTGATACCAATGCGGAGGATGTTAATGCTGAACGGTTGGAACGGTTGTACGGCGGTTTCACTGAAGACATCCACATAAGCCTGGTGGAACACTGTGGGTGAATGGACACCATTAACCTCTATCCTTTCTATCTTACAGGTGGACTCCTGGTAGAGGGGCTGCCTGTCAAGCCGCGTCCGCAATGTCCGCTGTTCAACACACGAACCACGACGAATGGGGATTCAGGCGGGCAGCACACAAACCTAATATGATGGGGATTAGGGTGGGAGGCATGGAGAATGGCAAGGGTACATGGGTGTTGGTAAAAACCGGGATACGAATGGTGATGGTGGCACTGGGTGACAAGCAGCTGACGTCGCTGGCGGCGATCGGAGAGAGACAATGCAAGAAGATGACGCAGAAGGGGATAATGTGTGGCTCATTTGAGCAAAAAAAAAAGGTGGGGGGGAGATGAAGCTGCACAGGCTTTAGGTCATTATTCTTTCATACAGAACAAAAGGAGACTTAACTGTTGGAAAAATACTCACCTGTCCAGCAGGCTAAACAGAAGAAAGAAAGGAAAATATTATTTCAAGCAATGCGATATTAAAAATTCTTAGAGAGGAGATACTCTTATAAGATGCTCTTATTAATAATTATTGGTATCCTATAATTGCCTCAGCAAGGAACAATGTGTAAAAAAGGAAGCTGGTCATCTTGGTAGTGTTATCTCTTTTGTGTAAATGTTTGAATTTTTCACATCAGTACACCATCACACTGGGTTTGATCACATTGCCTCAACCACTTGCTAGCACTCTCATATGTAAACAGCCATACTTTTCATATTTTTGACCAAAGAGATAATGTGCTCTTGGTGTATGTACATTACCAGAAGCTTAGAAGTGATTAGATAATCACTTCTAAGTGGAAAAAATAGTATACAATTAACATACTGTAGTTTCTAAACTAGTCAAAGAAACATAATCTAACATGACCTTTTAGTGGTGCATAATTTTTTTTTTCCTGGTGTCCTCAGTTAGGGGGTTGTGATGTAGCTTTGGTTACATAACCTATGCTTGTTCTATTATGTTTTTATGCTATTATAATCCCATATAACAACATGATTTGAGTCTTAACCAAACATGTAACCATTTTTAATGGGAAGCAGTATACATATATTTTAAATAAACAAAATTCAATTAACAGCCTCACTGTTCCCATTATAGATGATTAAATTAAATCAGTATTTTCTTATATATCATATTCTCTGTTCTTCCCAATTTTTGCTCTTGGTTGATATTTCTTCCATAATGTCAAAGATGAAGTGGAGACACTTACTGCTATGTTTCTGTACATATTCAATAAGTTCACAAGGCTGAAAAAAATGAAATGTAAAAATAATATTAGATAAAAAGGTTTTGAGGAATGTGCATTTGGTTTAATGCAATGTTCCAAAGTTGGCACCTTCTGTGTGTTCTGAGGCAGCAATATCAAGGCACTATGGATTTTTGTCAAAGATTTATAAGAATCATCATTCCAATATATTTTGAAAATATTTGAATTCATTTCAACCAATAAGGGGTGATCAGATTTCAGTCTCTCAAATTTAAATGCTCAGTGAGTAATCCTAACTCAGCTTTTCTTTGGTTCTATTTGGATATTGGACATGCTCACCACCTGAGTATTCTCACTAACCACTCATAATACCATAAAAATTATGTAGCATCCTGCAGACATCCATGTGAACAACATATAGATTTGATATCTGCATGTGTATTAGCATTCATGTCAGAAAAGGTCCCAATGGAACATCTTTACTTTAATGGAAGCCAGTGTGTATCTGAGTGTAGAAATAAATGTAAGATGAGAAAATACAATCAATTCATTCTAGTAATACATACTGAATAGAAGGATTGGCCCTTTGCTCCTTTTGGACCCTAGAAGAATAAAATTAGAATTAGAGCTTTGCAAAATAATTTACAGTATAGCTTCATCTCCAAGTTTAGATTTGTATATCATAAAGTGAGAAGCTTCTGTACTGACATAATTACAATGTTAGCGTTCTGAGTTATGCATCCACCAAAAGCAGAACTCCAAGGCAGGTAGATTCTTCAAAGAACATGTTTATTGGATACATCATATCAGTACAGCTAGGGAAACCACCTCTACAAGTTCCCGCAGTTTTAGCCTAATTAAAAGAGCAAATATTCCCCCTCCCAGATGTCACCAGTCACATTGTCCAATAAAAGTAGCTGGCAGGCTGCTTGGTCACTCTTCTCCTCTTTCAACTGCCACATGTTGGGATGACCTTGGTTCCCATAAGAAACCTTTTTGTTTTAATTGTTAGCCAGTCTATCTACTTTCCCCCTCCCTTACACCTTTCAAGATTCATAGCAACTACAAGGCAGCAAAAGATGGCTTCAGCAGGTTCTCTTCAGAGTTGACAATCAGACCTCCCCCCCTTAACTCAAGAGAACTTCCTGGAAAATTCAAAAGGAAAATAAATTAGTCTTCCATCAGCCACCCCTCCTTCTCCCTGGAGGTTCTTTTGGCTGTAACTTCCCCACTGTGTTTTCTTGGAGGAGAACTGTGGCCATCACGACGTTGCTGGCATCCACTTGGATGATAAAAAGCTGCTCTGGGTCTGGGTGCTTAAGAATTGGCTCTTTGGCAAAGAGTCTTTTGGGTGTCTCAAAAGCCTTCTGGCATTCAAAGGTCCATTTTAAGGGCTGACTTGGCTGAGGTTTCACTCCCCCACTCCAGTCTCTAGTAGATCAGTGATTGGGATGTTGATTTCAGCAAAGGAGGGAATGAACTGTCTGTAGAAATTAGTGAACCCCAGGAAGCTTTGACTTTTCCTGGGTCCATTTCCACCTCTCACCGGACACCTGATATCCTACGTAGTCTAGGCTGATCTTCTGGAATTCACACTTGGATAATTTAGTGTACAGGTTTGCCACTGGAGCACTTGGCATACCAATTCGATATACTCCTCCATGGTTTCAGTGAAGATAAGAATGTCATCTAAATATATGAGGACCCCTTTGTACAGGTGCTCATGCAGCACTTCATTGATCAGTTGCATGAATACAACAGGGCACCGGCTTGGCCACCCTTGATTTTGCTGGTTGTATGAACCCTCTGGCCGGGTTCTTATCGATGTACTCCCTTAGCTCCTTTATTTCCCTTGGGGTCATGGAGTACAGCTTCGGTTTGGGTAGTTTCACCTTTGGCACAATCTCTATTGTACAGTCGGTAGGACGATGGGGGGTGCAGTGTGTTACATTCTACCTCAGTGAAAACTTCTGCTAGGTCCTAGTATTCCTTGGGAATCTGGGAGGTCTCTAGGAGTTGTTCTGATGCGACCCTCGATTTCTTGCTTCACTTAGTGTCCTTCAGATGCTGGACAGCTCTTCTTTCGGGAGTACTAGGAGGGGGGAGAGGGCCTATTCCTAGCCTTAACTTTCTCTCTTTCCTTTCCCACCAGATGTTGGGGGCCCATTTGTCTAGCCAGGGCAGCCCCAGGATCACTGCCTCGGTCATTTTTGGCACCAGTACAAAGTGGATAATCTCCCAGTGCCTGCCCATCTCTAGCCTTACTGGTTCTGTGAGGAGCGTGGCAGGGGCTCCTTCTATCAGTGATCTGTCAACCTGCTCAAATCTTATAGGCCAGGCTAGGGGTTTTGCCCTGATCCCTAGCTTCAGGACAGTTTGCAAACTGGTTAGGCAGTGGGTGCATCCTTAGCCTAATAAGGTTTCCACATCCCCCTGAACCCAAGACTTCAGTGCAACAACTTTCTCAGGATTCGCAAATGGGCAGATGGCTTCACTTACATCAGATCATCCTTGCCATCATCTTTGCTGTCATAGGGTGCAGGCTACTGAGTGTCCTGAGCTGGAGTTCTCTCTCCCTCACTTAGGGGAGGAGAGACCTTAACGGCCCAGCCAGATAAACTTCCCTTTCTCTCTCACCTTTCGTTGGGGCTTCTTTGCCTTGGTGGGCTCTGATGGCTTCCCCCTCGACTGGCAAGCTGGGACTAGACAATCGGCTGCTCGCTGGTCTCGCTGGCCACAATGGAAGCACTTGATGGGTGCTCCCGAGGCTCCGCTAGAGGAGTCTGCGACTTGGCCGGGATTTGATCATCTCCCAAACTGGCGCTTCTCTGGCTGGGCCTGTGGCTTTTGCTCCATGGTTCCGCGCTTCATTTATCGCTTGAGTTCGAGGTCCATTGCCACTGCCATCCGATACCATTCGTGGATTTGGTCGGGGACCTCTCAGTAAATGCATGTGTGCAATAGCTCACAGTCCAGGCCCTCCTTAAAGAAGCAGACCAGTAGCCACTCTGGCCACTGTTGCAGCTTCCCAGCCACTCTCCGGAACTCTCAGATGTACTCCTTGAGGGCCAGCCCCTCCTCTTAAGTTTTCAGATTTCTACTTCGGCTTGCAGGGTCTGGGACTCATCTTCAAATTTAGCTCTTGAAGGAAGGTGTCAATGTTCCCCAGCTCTGGTGTGTCGTCATCATGGAGTTGAGTTACCCATTCTGCTGCCTCTCCTTCCAGATTTGTGGTCACTGCACAGGAACATTGTCTGGTCGCTAGGGTAGTTTGCTGCATGGTTATCTATATGAGCTCACACCTGATTCAGAAAGAATGCATGTTTCTCTGGGTCTCTGTCAAATGTGGCTTTCATCGGGGGAGGGAGGCTGGCCAAGGAGGAGGAGGTTGTAGTGGCACCCAAGCTGGAGGCCAATGACCAGGGACCCAGTTAGCTCTGGGATAGTACGCCAATGGTGGGGATCCCTGCCACCCCATAGGGTTGTGCAGGTGGCCAGGTGGGCTCACCACCTCATGGTGGCCTACACGCCTGTCCCATCCCCTTGATACTTATCTGATCGAACCTCTCCCATAGGTTCTCCACTGTCTGACCAGGGGAGGGCAGTCAGGTATCGCCATTCCCTGGATTTGTCCAACTGAAGGGTTCCCCTTGCCCTCTAATGTGGGGCAAAGGCGACCGAGTCCCACATGGATGTCAATGGGAACTCCATTCCAAACTCCTGGCTGGAGCTGAGGTCTTCTTTGGCCTGGTAAAAGTTCCCCCCTTTGGCCGGGTCACTGCCAGGAGGGCAAACTCCGCCAGCATTGCTGTCATCTGCAGGCTTTCAGTAGGGATCATACCAGCATTGGCAACTCCTTCTCCCTCTTTCTCCATTTCCATGGCCTTTCCTGAGTCTTCTCTACTCCCTCGAAAGATTGGGTGAGTATCCGGGCTCAGGACCCCAGAGAGTGGAAAATTAGGAGAGTTGGTTTAATGTCAGCATTCCAAATAATGCATCCACCAAAAGCAGAACTCCAAGGCAGGTAGATTCCTCAAATAATATGTTTATTGATACATCATATCTGCACAGCCAGTGAAAGCCAACTCTAAAGGTTCCTTAGGTTTTAGCCTAATTAAAAGAGCAAATATTCCACCTCCCAGGTGTCACCGGTCACCTTGTCCAATGAAAGTAGCTGGCAGGCTGCTTTGTCACTCTTCTCCTCCTTCAACTGCCACCTGAGATGACCTTTGTTCCCACAAGAAAACTTTTTCTTTTGATTATTAGCTAGTCTATCTACTTTTCCTCCTCCCTTACCTCTCTCAGGATTTGTGGCAACTATGAGGCAGCAAAAGATGGCTTCAGCCAGGTTCTCTTCAGAGTTGACATAAAATATATAACTAAGTTATCTAGGTTGGAGGCAGAAAAGATCTGACATTTTCAGAAGAAAACACTTTGAGAGTGCTGGACAGATTTCTTACACTCTGCAATATGAACTATGCAGATTCTTCCTTGCCTTCTTCATTAATCCCCAGGGGTAGGAAATTTACTGTTTGCCTGTAACCCCATTCCCATTTCAGTGGTCTCTTGATTTAAAATTTAAAAATGAGCCTCTTAATATCATGTTGTCCAAATTATTTTCAGTAGGATGGTTTTCATTATCTTCAAAAAATGAAGACAAATCTCCCATTAAATTAATTCACCTAGTCTTCCTCCAAATCCTTTAAATCCCAACAAAGAATATCTGCTCTGACATAAAACTAACAATGGTTAATTTTAATGAGTGTCAATTTTAAAATGTCCCCCAATGAAAAGATATATAATTATGACCTAATCAAAATTAGCATTCTTAACCTTACTGCAGACATAATATGGGGACATATTTAATGCTAAA